AGGCCATGGCGGATCAATCCCATGGGGGCGTGATCTACTACTTCTGCCACATCCATTCGAAGATGAGCGGCAAGATTATCATCAAGAATGCTGATGGCTCCGACGTGACGCAGGCGAACGGGACGGCGTTGAGTCAGCCGCAGGAGTTGAGTCTCTACTCGGTCCCCAGCCTTGATACCTTCGATACCATGTGTGGCACTACGAACGCAAGTGCCTATGCAGATGGCGGTGGCTAGGTTACAGTTTTGGATGTTCTTGACTCGTTTGCTTTTTGATGTAGGCCAGCCGGTGTCGGAAGCAACTTGAAAAAGCCCTGGGTAACAGGTCAGAAGGAGTGCGCGGGGAAGTTCTTGCCGGGGACGCACGACACGGACTTTGAGAAGTGCATGCAAGCAATCGACTGCATGATGAACAAGGAGATGCGTGTCGTGGGCTTTGACAGCCACCAGAGTCACATCGTCACGTTCATGCAGCAAATGATACCTCATCACGCTAATGCAGTCAACATGGCCAAGATCTTGCTTAAGCACGCGGAGACTGAAGTGGCAGCGGTAGAGGACTTGGAGGACATCATGTGGGGCATGATAAATGTCCAAAACTTCCAGATCCACGTGATGCGCAATTACCTGGCAAGCCATACTGCCTATGGTGACACCATCCATGACGGGGTTCCCTTGCTTGCCACTTCAGTAGGTGAGCACTGCGAATCGACCCTCGATGTGGATGTTGTGATCCCGACGCAGTCGCAGAACCTCAGCCCGACGACCTCAGTGTCAGGCTGCACGCCCTCGGATACCATGCTTTGCATGAAGGTGGGAGCAGTGAGTCGGTCATTGGTTCTATACTGTAGAATTCTGTCTGGTGCTTTTCATTTAAGGCCTCTGATGGAGGAATCCCAAGACACCACCCCGAAATGCTACATTCCATTTGTGGCAGCCAGAAGGTGAACCTCTTGGCCGGTGAAACCGGGTACTACGAGTTCGCGGGGCACACCGGCCCGTCTCCTGACATTGAGGTGCGCATCGGTCAAA